ATCTCTAAGGGTGCGCCCGGCCGCCCTGCGGAGAAAGCTCATTTCGGCCGCCTGTATCCGGGATCTTGCCCTTTCGGTCATGACCCAAAGTTCCTGTGTTATATTAAGAACTGCATAGACAGTGTTACACTGGACAAAAATCAGGGTCTACCCCAACCAGAAGCCCTGGATGAAATGGGAGGTCAAGTGGCTACTGAGAGAGAGGAACACTGCCTTCAGGACAGGCAACAAGGCTCTCTACAGTGCGGCCTGAGCTAACCTGAAGAGAGGCATCAGAAAGGTCAGTTTGGACTACAGGAAGAGGACCGAAGACCATCTGGACAGCAACAACAACAGCAGACAGGTGTGGCAGGGAGTCCATCATCTTACCAACTACAGTGTTAGATATCAGTAAATCAGTTAGATAATTGTTAGACATTAATGTGTTGAATCAGATGTGTTAGTAATGCAGTTTAGTAAGATTCAAAGTCTGCTCTAGTCTGTTTTGTTTCAAGGTTAGCAGACAGAATGTTGATTCTGAAAAGTGAACCATAGGCACCAATTCTTTTCCTGTATTGACCTTGTATTAGAATATTATGTCTGAATAAATGAATGAATGCCTTAGCTACACACCATGTGACAACATACACACACACACACACACACACACACATTGAGATTCTTCATTTTGTTATGACTACGTAGAAATGCAGCAGCTCCAAGCCTGTGGAGCTCTAGATAAGAGATGGAGTCTTCAGACTGACTTCTTCTGGGTAAGCGGTTAGCCCAAACCTTATAAATGTAGTAGGCTCTGTGTGGCCAGAGACTCCACTTTCCAGCAGCCTGTGTGTGTGTGTGTGTCTCTGGAAGGGGGAGCAACCCGGGTCGTGTTTGTAATTTTTTGCTTCTGGTTAAAATAAATCAGCACTAGATGAAGAAAGATGGACTCCTTCGTTATTCAGAGCTGCCCAATTAAAGAACTGGGGTATTACAATTAGAATAATCTCGGTGCGGCTGAAAGGGACGCCTCGCTGGCAGAGGCGCTGAACCTCTTTTTTGCCCGCTTTGAAGGGCAGCAACCAGACACAGCCAAACTGCACCCTGTGGCCCACAGCAGCCCCACCCTCACAGTAGGGGAGCATGAGGTGAGGTGCATGCTGCTGTAAACCTGAGGAAGGCTGCTGGACCGGACAGCATCACCAGATATGTGCTGAAGGACTGTGCGGACCAGAGTCTGTGCTGGCTGGAGTCTTCACCAGAATCTTCAACCAGTCTCTGGCCCAGTCCACTGTCCCACCCTGCCTGAAGTCCTCCATCCTAGTTCCCCTGCCTAAGAAATCCAACATAACCAGTCTCAATGACTACCAGCCCGTTGCACTCTCCAGTGGTGAAGCAGTGTTCTGAGAAATTGGTATGGGGACACATTATGTCATTCCTCCCACCAACATCTGACCCACACCAGTTTGCATACAGGGCAAATAGATCCACAGAGGCTAAGAATATAATGTATAAAGTGACTTAAGTGATTTTTCTTTCACATTGTCCTAATTACATAATAAAGTTTGAAGGCATCAAATTTAACTGCATGGCTCACTCAAAAGCCACTAGGTTAAAGAAATGCTGCACCAAAAACATACCGAACTGACTCCAAAGCAGCAGTAATTAAGGACTAAGAAACTCATGTTAGACCCACAACAATTACCGTTTTACTACTAATGTGATGTGATGGTCACCATTTGTAAAACAAATACAAAGACATAGCCAACATCATCTCATCTTCTTGTGACTTGATAAGAAGACAACCCAGCAATGTGAAAGCTAATGTGTAGCCGAAAGCAGAATGAGACTGGTAGGATGAATACAACACACACCCACACACCCACACACACACCCACACACCCAATTAATGAGAAAAGACCATGAATGATAAACAGGTCATCCATATGCATGTGTTATCAGAATCGACACCCCAGATGGTTTCCCTCTTCCACAACACAGAGCCAGAAGTAGCACAGAGGGACTAAAGGCCAATAAAACCAAAAATCAATATTCACTCTGGACAATCTTTTAACATATGAAGAGGAAAGCCTTAAAAGGAACTTTACTCCCATTTCACATTTTTAAAACCATTTACTACTATAACTAAAACTGACAGCTGTCTCATTCCTGTTGAGATTTCTGCTTGAAAGATTGTGCTTACCTAAAAAATGTACCATTTCCTAAATACAGTTTAATTATAGCCCTCCTTCTCTAAATGATGAATTCTGTTACTTAACAGATGTGTTTGGTATGTACACGATGGAATGAAGTAAGAGCAGCAACAATTATGGTTGACAAAAAAATAAATAGGTTGCTCCTGACCCTCAGGGTGAGAAGGAAAAATGTCACTTAACCTTTGTTGCAAAATCCTATGCCTTGCTTTGAACTTCCTGTGTGGATGTTCGCTGGTTGCAGTGGAAGGAAAATTAAATATGCACTGGCTATCATATCCCCAAAAGACACCAGATCAGGGAAGCAGAAGACTTGAGTGGATGGGGAGGGGCCTGCAATCAATCAATCAATAATGGCCGTTTCCCTGGGGAGCGGTGCAATCTAATGAGACACACACCTCCCCCTTCACTGGACTTCCTCCTTTAGGATCCTTTCATCTTGTCCTTTCTTGCTGAGCGCTGTCCTCTACTACAGTCTCTGCACAGCTCTGTCACTCAGTGCCCTTCTCTTCTGTCCCCTTCAGTCCGCTCCCACCCCCATTGAAATCTCTTAAATTCCAAGGGGATGGGTACACAAAAGCGAGGAATGCAGCTGGGCTGGTGTAGTGGAGGAAGGTGGAGATAGACAATAATAGATGCAGGGCTGAGGCAGTTGAGAGTGAGAGACAGATTGATGGTGCAAAGATAGGATGGTTTCTGTTGACGGACTGACCCATAATGACCATAGAACCGGGGAGATCAGCGGCACTCGAATGAAGCTGCTCAAGTACTGACGATTACATGACAAGTGGCTTATTCGATCACTCATTTTTATAGTGACAGGAAAACAAGCCCTGGCATGAAAATGCTGACTTGCTTGACAGTCTTTTGTGAGGTTTGTAGGAGAGGAGCCTCCATTTAGGGTAATGGAAAATGCTAATAGGTGTTATTATGCCCAACCTTTCACAGAAAAAAAAACAGCATGGGTCTAATAAAATGTATTTGTCCTGAGCAACCAATTTAAACAACAGTTTCATGTTATCTGGAGACGAAGGCATTTTGGACATGACAGAAGGTGCATAACAAACACCGTGCTGCCCAATATGAGTATGCTTTCCTCACTGAGTGTTAGCGTACATCATGAAACAAGTTTCTACCATGTTGTTACCTTGGAAACAACATGGTAGAGTTCCTGACTATACACTACACTGTTACCACTGCAACCAAACAATAAAATT